AGTTGAGTCCTCCGAGCGTAAGAAAGCTCCTATGAGGTTTCTGTCAAATTGAATAATACGGTTTTGACAGAAAAATGTTCTCAAGGGTTTCCAATTAGCAGTTCATTAGATTTTTGGGTAAAAGACCATCAGGGCTTGACAGTGTAATGGTTCAAAGACAAAGAAACGGGTGCGAGGAAAAAAGTATTTGGACGACCCGTTGAATAGCATTGGTTGATCTGTGTGCTGTACTATGGCACATCCGAGTGATTTCAAAAAGCGAGCCCTACTGACACGCTTAAAAAAATTCTTTCGAATCAAGCAATTCCAATCTGAGACAAGTGACTTCCGCCTTAAAATACTCATTTTTTTCCTTTTGAATCGAGAGAAAGTTATTCTTGGCGGTAAATTTAAAAATTCTCCTCCAACCACCCCCCCTCTGTTTTTCTCAATAAAGATTCCTCTTAATTTAAGATCAGTGCGAATGTTTTACACTCTTGGCGCAAAAATAATCGGACTGCGTTAAGCAGAAAGGAACCAAGCCGCATCAGCTGTTGCTAAATTTAATCGGTCAGTTTAATTTCTTACATGGAAACGATTGTGCAGATATTTGTGAAAATTTCAGTAAATTTTCTGCATAGTACGAAGCAAATGCCTTCAAATTTTCAAAGGAATCCGCATAAACGTTCTCTGGTGAGAAATTAAATTGCCCGGTTAAATTTGGCAATAACTTACGTGGCTTGGTTTATTTCTGCTAGACTCGGTGCGATTACGATTCGCGCTTTTGGGCTGAAGTGTGACTGTGCAATTTTTTTGAAGTTCTAAATCGGTTTCACTTCTTCCAAAAATAAAATTGGTGAGGAGGGGCAAGTCTTTAAAGCTTATCGAACAACTTTAAATAACTTTAATTAAACTTGTCGGAATGCTACTCCCGCCCTCCTTCCACCAAACTTCACTTACAAAATATTGAATTCAGTTATCCAGGGGAGAAAGGAGGCGACTTTTTTCGCTGCAATTGGGCGAACCTGCAAAAAAATTTGCATGTAGTCTCTCGTGACTTTGCGCGGTCATCGGCGCCTGGAAGGTCACCTGCGTTGTTGACATAAAATGATCTTAAAATCAATCACCGACCGAATCAGTTCCAGCGCTCGGATCTGTAAAACCGTATTTTGATTCAGCGTTAAATGATCGTATAATCACTTAAGCAATCAAGTCTAATTTTAGTCGCTCGCGTCCGTGTGCTAATCAGTGGCGTGGCGTGCTTTGCGATAGATCGATTGATCCGTCATTTAAACCTATGGAAAAGGATCGATAGACATGGTGTTTGCTGCATGATCGATTATTTACCATAGCTACGAATAGGAAAATATCGATTATCGATCATTCACGCTTCTCCACTGGTGCTAATGCGGCTTATAATGACAGAGAATGAGTAGACAAAACTGCAAGATCAGTTATAATAGGCTATAATAAATAAAAAACGCAGTCATGCAAATGAGTGACGCCTATGCAACTTTTCTGAATGGACATATAATATTTGAAGCAGCTATAAACCTGACATCTTGTATACATCTAAATACACCTTACATCTCTTTATGCACATTATTTTTTATCGATAAGCATATTTCTCCTACCGGCGCGTGAGCAAAACGAATAAGGAAAAATGTCTCGCGATAGAATTGAATAAAAATTGAACAAAATTCATCCTACTGATAGGTGATGAAAATATAATTATAGTGAAGAAGAGAGCATTTATATTTATATCTATTCATTTGATTATTAGGTTATTCATGATTTTCCATACCGAAATCGGTGCAGTAACAATTTTTCATAGAGTACATATAGATTCGTATTGTGTGATTGAGAGAGCTAGGACCTCTTTTAAGCATTTTCCAGGTCTCGAATTCGATGACTCCTGAGTGGCGCCGGGTCACTTTTTCGATACATAATGGATTGCTTGCGATACACGGGGACCCGGTCATCCGATGTAAACAAAGAAAATAGGAAACACTACACTGAGAAAAATTATGGTTATCACTGGTAAAAAAAAAAAACTTCTTGGTTCAAGAGTGCAGTTTCTTGTCGCCGGATTTAAGAGTCTGGACTCTTGTTTCAATGCAAAATCCGCTTGAAATGAGAGTTCAAGACTTTTAAATCCGGCGACAAGAAACTGCACTCTTAAGTCAATGCACCGCGGTATTGGTCCAAGAGGTTTTTTTTACCAGTGTAATCACCATATTAGTGGTGTTCAATATGAGCTCTTAATTAGTAGTTGTCATAACCAATAATAGAGATATTTTTAACATTAAATGGTAATTTTACTACCACACACTTGTAAAATTACGATTGCTCCAGTAAAAATATCACTATTGTTGGTTATGGTCACTACTAATTAAGAGTGCATATTGAACACCACTAATATGGTAATTATAACCATAGTTTTTTCTCAGAGTACGTATTCCACACTACAATTTTGGATCGAACATGTATCGAAAAAGTGACCGGGCACAGTGGGCTCGGAACCCGTCGTCCAGGACACGGTCCCAGCTCTCCCATTCACATTACGACTCTGTGTACTCTGTGCAATTTTCCCTGCAGAATATTCAACGCTTCAATCGTGATTCCGGCTCGTGTACATGCACTTTAACTAGGATCCTCGGGAGTGTGCAAAATGGTCTGCAGTTTATGTGTGAGAAAATGGGTAATCCTCCGGGACCAATTATCATTATCTCAGGCTGCTCCTTACATCACGTCATTATATCACATCAATTACTCACGAATGAGGAGCTGATCGTTTGTCTGTTTATTCACCAAGTCGGAATGCGCATACAAGCGAAGGAAAACATATATGCACTGAGGTGTCATCGCTTAGAACGCTGTTGAGTTGGCGCGCCGTCGGATGGATTGATGGTATGACGTTTGACGTCATACGTCATGTTGTCGAAGAACGTAGAGTCTCGTGGAGTTACGGTATTTTAGGTTGAGAATCAGTTCGTATGCTGCCGTGAATCGGATCTCTTTCGTATACCTCTGCTTTTCTTTGAGAGCAACTACAGGGATACGTCTAACAGACTGAGTAAATGATTAATAACATTCATGGCGGATTCAGCAAATTGGCAAAATTGTTTTTCTCCATCGTTTTAAGCCTATGGAAATGTGTCAATTCTTGGAGGGACCAGGTGCTCTAAAAAGAATCGATTATAGATTGAACATAGGTTTAAAAGAAGGTGTTGCCAAATTGCTGGATTCGCCTCTGAATAAAATGTACACATCCTATTTAGAAATCCAGGCTATTTATTGGTTGAAATTAAACATCTATCGAGGTGGTGTCAACTACCACCAAAGTTAAACTGGAAGAGACGCGTCAAATTTGAGCTCAGACTAAAAAATCAATACGGAATCTAACGTATACTGATGAGCGTTTGTTTCAGAAGTCTATCGAACAGATCTGGAAAATGCGAAATGAGGAAATTACCCAACATATTATACCCACATACCCAATGTACCCAACATAATGTTGTAATGATACAACGTAATTACGTATTTAAATCAAAATAAATTATACCTCCATTGTGACATAAGATGTGAGATTCATAAGAATACATGCATGACGGGCTCCATTTAACAATGGAGGTATAGTTTCTTTTACTTAATACGTCTAAAATGATGTATACAGTTTTCTGTGTACACGGCACCGGGCAAATTTTGGTGATATCGAGGTAGGTATTGTAGGTCATTATAGGTCGAGTTCATGTAGAGCTTTGACATATAAGAGCAATAAATAAAAAAATAAAAAAAAATAGAATTGACATGATCGTTTTAGTCGTGATTAGCTTCTTGTAAAATCTAAAATTTTTCGCCAAACCGCCCCTCATTGTTCATTTAGAGTCTCCTCAGTGCTTGTTCATCATAATGGTACTACATATACAACGATGTGCTTCTCGTAAGAGCAATATTTACACATTCAGTGCTTATTCAGTTTTCGACTTCTTTCGCGTTGACTCTTACTGTGAGGAAAAAAGCCTAAAACTCTACTTTGAGGAAAGAGCGATCGCATTAAACACCGTTGCATTTAGAGGAACCAGTTTTCCAGTCATGCGCATTTGACTTACGTTATCATGCGAGCAAATACTAATCGCCACTAAATGTGTAAAAAAAAATAAATTGCATGATAACAAAAAATACACGATTTTTGGAGTCATCTGACAGTTATGTGTGTCAATAATGTAGTTCATTGACGTTCATTTGAATCTCGCGATTTACAGAAATATCTGGATTTTAATTGTTATTTTTGTACTTGTTTTGCAGCCAGTTACATCAAACCGTGTAAAAGGACTGATGCCGGCCTCAATGAATGCGTCCAAAGAACTTTCGAAGACTTACGACCCCACCTAAAAAAAGGTTTGTAATCTGGATTCTCTCTCCCCTCTTTTCCCTGGTAAAATTGGCGATAAGAGCTGCGTTTCAAAATAGTATAGAAATTCCTGTAGCCGGCTAAAGAAGGCTACAGAAAATCATATAGCTGGCTGTGGAATGCGGAGAAAATCATACGGCCGGGCTATACGAAGCGATAAAAAACTATGCAGCCGGGCTATAGTTCCTATCGCCGGGCTTTACACTTTATCGCCTGGCTGTTGCTTTTTTTGCCATCGATCACAAAAGGCTATGAGAAATTGTGTAGAAATTCGTGTGCTTTGGAAATCATCAAGTTTGATACGGAACCACCTTAATATTTACAAAACACACATTATATTTTCTTTTAGTACATATTTTTTTCATGAATTAAAATGAGGATAATTTATATACAGGATGTGCAAACATTTCAAAATTATGAGTTGAATAACGCTGACTCCGCCAGATTAAATATTAGAGCCCAACACAAAGCGGAGCGGCGACGCACTGGCGCCTAAAAACCTAACAGGGATTCTTCACGCATTGCGCAACGCGTGAAGTATCCTTGTTAGGTTTGTAGGCGCCAATGCGTTTCGCGCTGGCTGCCTGCCTGCCGCGCCGCAGCGTGCCACGGCGCTTGAAGCAACTATTTCACCCCAGAGGTATTGCACAGTATTATATGAAACTGAAGGCGCTCTAATGTATTAGGAATGGCAGGCATCCATCAAAATTACGGAGCTTTCCTCGCGAAGTAAATCAAGATACTACGGCCCAAAAAGAGAGCAGTAGTCAAAAAACTCACTAAGTCCTAGCATCCGTAATTAGTAACGTTTTAGCATACACTTTATGGCTGTTGCTTAGTCGCCATCGGCTATAAAAGGCTGTGAGAAATTGTGTAACCGGCTATAGAAGCTATTGGAAATCTTACAGCCGGCTGTAGGGCTATGGTATTTTGGAACACAGATTCTACTGCCAGTTTTTACCAGGGTTTCATTGGACATGAGTTTCTCTTCGAGAAAAAAAACAACCTATCGATGACTATATATCAAAATGATGTTGTTTAAAGATTTTTTTTAAAGGAGAAACGATGGTTTACTCATAAATTGAACACTTTGCATTTGTAAATAGTTTTTCACCAATATCACTTCTTAATATGTTATGATTNAAAAAAAACTGATAATGCGGGCTTTTTATCACATTTTTTTGGTAGAATGGCAGTCTCCACCCTGTAACGCAGAGAGGCAGTTAAAGTCATTCATCTTCTGCCACAGAATCATCATTATTAAATAGATTCAACTCATTGCTCCGATTCCAATTAAGCTACTGCACCACCATTGCTAGCTGTGGAGGGCGCCCGTAGGGCGCCCGGAGCAGCTAGTATGTTATGATTTTTCATACAGCTCAAAAAATGTTTCTATAAACATTTCGAATGATATAGTTGATCGGTTTTACAGCTGTTTGCGCGAATTATTTTGACAAATCCAGGTCATTTTTACCACAACTCAACCACTCATTTAAGTCTCTTCTCATCGCCAAATTTATTATTGCCAACTCAGCTGGAAAAACTGGAAAATGTCTCATTATTGTTTCCAATCTTTCCATGCTCATTGCTCGCCTTGAATATCACAACGCGAAAAACTGAAGAGCTTTATTTTATAATTTTATTCTTTCATTGGATTAATCAATTTTAATTAATTAAGGTCAGCTTATAGTAAACCCAGATTTCTCGCAATATACGTGGGAAGTATCTATACCCCAGGACACTGTCTCAATTAAGGTTGAGAACGAATTGAGCTCCTGTTTAAAAGTCTTTTATCTACATCATACCTTCGCAAATACACGGGTGGACATTGCGACTCGGGATTACAGGTTTTTCGCGATGAATCATTTCAGCACTGCAATTATCTATGCATGTTTATATTATTCTTCTCCGACTTAGATTTGAAGAATGGTCTAGGCGTGTGATAATGCATTAACTCATGATTACTCTTAAACGTACCATTTACGTCACCTCTATTAATTATAATTCTCTTCGCATTTTCCGCTTTTGAAGACAAATGACCCCTGTGCTTAATCAAACAAGTAGCCAGAAAAGGCATTTTGCATAGCTTGGCATTAATGAAGGAGCGAGAGGGAGGGGGTGGGAAAAGAGTAAAATCGTAAATCTCGTAAATCTTCTCGTAATCTCGTAATCTTCGTAAATCTCATTATTGAACTAGGTTATTTTAGAAATTTGTTCGCATATTTGGAGTCTTTTGTGTATGAAATTGCACTTAAGACCCCCTACTATGTAACTTTTTTAAACGCGCTACCCAAATCTATTCCGGTGCATTTGGCTGGTCTCCCAAAAGAGATTGTATCAGGAATTTCGTATTGGAATTCGGAAGGTTTTCAGGAGTTAATTGGTAGAAAAATTGACGAATGTAAAGTTTCGACGGCGTTGAAGAACTGGAAAACAAGGTGGACATTAATACCCTCCACGATTTGCTCGGAAATTACCTATAATATTACTGGAATTCTCCATCCAACCTTAAAACATGTCTCTCGCTTTCCATTAAGGTCCAATCGCTGTCTGATCCCTCCTGAACTTTTCTCAATGTAGACCTAATAGTCGTTCAAAAAGTAAGGAATACTTTTATGAAAATAATTTTTTGGAAGAATTTGACACTTCACAGTGAGTTTCAAGCGTGGGGATTTCCATTCATAATGTTAAAAGGAGGTAAAAGTGCCTTTCAATAACAAGTGACAGAGGAAATCTGACGGGAAACTTTATGGAAAATTCAAAAGAAGATCTACCTTGATAAATTATTTACCTGATGCAACGACTAATACTCTCTTAAAATATGATTTTGTTTTCCTCAAATTTTGAATATAGAGTTTCGGAATAATTTAACGACATGCTTCTGTTACATATAATATTTCTGATTTTTATTCAACTTGAACCGCTCTTGCTAGCCTATTTTTTCAGCTTTAAAATTGGGAACTCTAAATTTTTCTTTATATCAACAGAAGTACGCGCAACACTGACTCCTTCTGTGCGGCGCACAGTGGGTCGAGTCAATAGGAGAGGTCGGAAAAATTTGGAAACTTTAAAAGTTTTTGACTTTGTTCATACAAAACTTTGAGGTTTATAAAGTGGTTCCATTGGTTTCATTGTGAAATTTTCTTTTAGAGGCACCCCTTAAAATTTAAAAGTTGACTAATTAAACATAAACAATTGTCAGTTTTAGTTAAAAATTTCTTGTCCGGCCTCTCTAATCGACTCGATTTCTCTGTGCGGCGCATAGGTTTATCGGCATCCCTTGAGCTATTGTTCGACGGGACCACGTGCAATTTTTTTCTTCTGTCCGTTACTAGAGTCATAGACCGTCTATGGTAGACGGTACAAATCGCCTTTTCAGTGACTACGATGTCAAAGTAATGAAAAATTATGAGAAATATAAGCGCCTTCAAATGTGTATTTATGCAACCCCAGATGGTCGTGATCGAAATGGTCGTGATCGAATAATTATTATTACCGCTTAAAATTTGGATCGATTCGAAGAACGCTTTTTACCATGACTGCTTTATAGACGTATTCTGTCAGAAATGAAAAGCCACACGTTTTTTAATCAGAACAGATCAAAAAGACCCCAAACCTCGGCAGACAAATTGTTTCTTTCTTAAATGGATCGCACTTAGCAAAAAGGAACCAGCGCGAATACAGTGTTTTCAAAATCGTACAACTTCTTCTTCCATTTTAAAAATACTCAATGTATGTACAGTATTGCAATTCACGCAATTAGTTTCCTTTGAAATCAACAAATTTCTGGTAGGAAGGAAAAAATATTTGCCGCTTTGGGAGATTTTTTAGATAAAAGGAGCAACATTTTCACAACATTGTGATCGAGCTGCGGTTCCTTTTTGCTAAATGCGATCCAAATGTCGTCCGCCACTTGCAATTAAACGGGTGCAAGAGTCCTGTTTCCGGTGTATATATTTAGCATCCTCAGAATGAGCTATTAATAGGTTCTTTACTCAATCTTCCATTGATGGAGGCAAGAGCGGGAGGTACTTCGTTGCCGATGATGATTTTGGCGGGCGGTTGAAGGACTACTCCATACGTGCTTCATTGCTATGCAAGCCGTGCATTCAATTTTAGTGGTGCCCAATCCTCAGGTTCAAGGTCGTAGATACTTACCATTGAGCGCAGTTCAGCGTCCCAACGCACAGTGGATCGAGTCAATTGGAGAGGTCGGACATGACATTTTTGACTAAAACTCCAAATTTTAATGTTTATTTCGTCACATTTTAAACTTTCAGCCGTGTTTCTAGGAGAAAATTTCAGGAGGAAACCATTGAAGCCACTTTTAGAGCCTCTAAGTTTTGTGTAAATGGAGTTATAAGCGTTTAAAGTTTCTAAATTTTGTCCGACCTCTCCCACTGACTCGATCCATTGTGCGACGCTTAAGATACGCGACGGCACGTCATCATTTCGGGAGTCACGAAAGGTCGCCTCTTAGACACTCACGATGAACTTCTGTATTCTGCCGTGCTTAGGTATGAACATTTGAGAGATGCCACATATCCCCGGATAAAATATGTATTTTTGAGAAAAGTTATCACGGATAAAATTAAACTGATGATTCAACAATTCAATTGCTAAACAAAGTGGCTGCAATGTTTCAATGTAGATTTTACGAAAAAAATGCTACATTAACCACAATTGTGAGCTAATTTAACCACGGGGGTGGTTAAAGTAGCATTTTTTTGTTGTAAAATCTACATTGAAACATTGCAGTCACTTTTTTTTTAGCAATTGAATTGTTAAATCAGCACTTTGCATACTTTTCCTTGACTTTTCTGATATTTTAGATTATATTACGAACAAAGTTGTCTGAAGAATTTGAGGAAAACTAATAAAAATATTCCCAACAAACCGTATTTGTTATCAACGGGAATTTGGCACCACCTGAAGGTTCATACGGCGTTCTTTCTTAGCACGGCAGTATCGACCTTTCATCAATGAATTCAGTTCATGTCCACATCGGAACGCTGGATATGCGTGATTCGCTCATTTGACTTTTTACGCTTTTAAAAAGCGCGGGAAAATTAAAAGAAGAAGTAACAAAGTCGCACTTTGAAAATAAACGGGTCAGTTTTGAGCTGGACTAGCTGCAAATTTTTAATTTCCATTTGAAGTCGAGAAAAAATATTTCGAATGTGTAAGGAGGAGTTGATTTTTAGCACTTTCATTGAAGCCTATGGAGGAATAAAACTTCATTTACCTTTTTTTCTTCGTTCGATCTTGGTGCAACTTGGTTTGGTTTCCATCTCTTAAACTTCGTCTGATCGAACGCATTTAAGGCCGATTGAACCATATCCATCGTGACGCGCATGATACCTATCATGCATGTATTCTAATGGATCCCAAGGCTCATATCAGAATGAATAGCGTTCCATTTCTTTTAAATACGTCCAATTAAAGTGATTGAACAAGTCCTTAAAGAGGTAGCTTGTATACCCAGATTTTTCAGTACTTTGAGTACGCGGATGTAGTTCCTTTTTAATCGCTCATTTCACGCTTCTGCAGTCCTTTTAGACAGAGAGTATACTGCTATGCTAAGTAAAACAGCCGTATAAATATTCGAGAGCTGCCAAATTTCCTCCTATAAACTGTTGATTTTTAAAGAGAGTCGGAAACTTTTTCTCTTGACATTTTCAGATAATTTAGATCTATTTGTGATTAAAATTCTCTAAAAAATTGAAAACTATTCGAAGCTTTCCCTGAATAATGTATTTTAACAGAGGGAATTTGGCAAAGTCATAAGGCTCATACGGGTCTTCCTTAGCACGGCACCTTCGGGTGTTGCCAAATTGCCTTTGATAAATTGCTAATTTTCTGGAAAACTTATAAATATTTTCGCTGCAATTTTTCAGATAATTTTGTTCACGATTTCAGCTAAAGTTCCTGAAAATTTCAAGGACAAATATTGATAACTTTCTTCAAAAATAGACAATTTATTGAGGAAAATTTGGCAACGTCACAAGGCTCATATGGGTCTTCCTTAGCACGGCAGTATAGTGGTTAAAATGAGGAAACACATAACTTAGAAACTCTTCAAAAATCCACCGATATTAATCGAAATTCCCAGAAAATAGTCATGTTTTTAACTTCTCGCCAAATCTCAACATGCACTCATTCCCGCCCTCTTCCGTCTCCAATCAAAAAGGACGTCATTGAAAATCTGCGATAAGACCAGGAGAATTAGGTTCCATCGGGGGAAAAAAACCGATTAAGAGTAATTAGTCGGATCATTAAGAGTGCTATTGCGAGAGTGGAGGATAGCTCTGTCGGTGAGG